GCAAAAAATGGGAGAAACAACCCAAAAAATGAGGGGGGAACCCCAAAATTTGGGTGTGGGGGCATTTAAACGAGACCCCCCGAAATGGGGTGAGAACCCCCCAAAATGGCATGAGACCCTCCGAAATGGGGCAAGACCACCCCAAAATGGGGTGAGACCCCCCGAAATGAGGTGAGACCCCCCCTGAAATGGGGCGAGACCCCCTGAAATGGGGCGAGCCCCCCCAAAATGGGTGAGACCACCTGAAATGGGGTGAGACCCCTCAAAATGAAGTGAGACCACCCAAAATGGGGTGACACCCCCCGAAATGGGGTGAGATCCCCCGAAATGAGGTGAGACCCCCCTGAAATGGGGCAAGCCCCTCCAAAATGGGTGAGACCTTCTGAAATGGGGTGAGACCCCCCAAAATGGGGTGAGACCCCCCCAAAACGGGGTGAGACCCCTCAAAATGAAGTGAGACCACCCAAAATGGGGTGACACCCCCCGAACTGGGTGAGATCCCCTGAAATGGGGTGAGATCCCCTGAAACGAGGTGAGACCCCCCCACAATGGCGTGAGACCCCCCAAAATGGCGTGAGACCCTCCAAAATGGGGCAAGACCACCCCAAAATGGGGTGAGACCCCCCCAAAACGAGGTGAGACCACCCCAAAATGGGGCAAGACCCCCCCCCAAAATGGGGTGATACCCCCCGAAATGGGGTGAGACCTCCCCAAAATGGAGCGAGACCCCTCAAAACGGGATGAGACCCCCCCGAAACGGGGTGACACCCCCAAAGTGGGGTGAGACCCCCCGAAATGGGGCGAGACCCCCCCCAAATTAGCCCCGTACTTGATGCGGACGCCGATGGAGCGGCGGAAGGCCTGGGTCAGCGCCTCGGTGCGCGACATCTCCAGGGAGAAAATCTCGCTGCCCGCGATGGCCGTGAAGGGCGTGTCGGGACCCAGCGCCTGCGCCATGCCTGAGGGCAACAAAGGGCAGGGCTGGCGGGATTTGGGGCTTTTTTAGGAGGGCTTTTGGGGGGGTTGGAGAGGGCAGCGGCGAGGTCAAAGGGGATCTGGAGGAGTTTGGGGGGGTTTAGGGGGAGATTTGGGTGGGTTGGAGGGGTTTGGGGTGTGTTTGAGGGGGGTTTAGGATGGGTTTTGGGGGGTTGGAGGAGTCAGGAGTGAGTTCAAGGGGGATTTCAGGGTGTTTAGGATGGATTTTGGAGGGTTGGAGGACTCAGGGGTGAGTTTGAGAAGGATTTAGGATGGGTTTAGGGAGGTTGGAAGAATCAGGAATAAGTTTGAGGGGATTTGGGGGTGTTTAGGATGGATTTAGGGGGGTTGGAGGAGTCAGGGGTGAGTTTAAGGGGGATTTAGAGGGGACTGGAGAGGTCAGGAGTGAGTTTGAGAGAGATTTAAGATGGGTTTTGGGGGGTTGGAGGAAAGGGCAGGGCTGGGGGGATTTGGGGCTTTTTTAGGAGGGCTTTTGGGGGGGTTGGAGAGGGCAGCGGCGAGGTCAAAGGGGATCTGGAGGAGTTTGGGGGCTTTTAGGGTGGGTTTTGGGTGGGTTGGAGGGGTTTGGGGTGTGTTTGAGGGGGATTTAGGATGAGTTTTGGGAGGTTGGATGGGTCAGGGGTGAGTTCGAGGGGGATTTGGGGGAAGTTTTTTGGGGTTTTGGGGGGATTTTGGGAATGTTTTGGGGATATTTTTCAGAATGTTTAGGAGATGTTTTTGGGTGATTTTGGGGGTTTTTAGGGGATGTTTTTGGGGTTTTTTGGGGTCACACACCCATAGCAATGGCCGTTTTCCCTGTCCCGGGCTGCCCGGCGATCAGGACGGGGATTTGGGGATGTTTTTGGGGATGTTTTTGGGGTTTTTGGGGATGTTTTGGGGGTTTTTTGGGGTTTTTAGGGGTCACACCCCCATAGCAATGGCCGTTTTCCCCGTCCCGGGCTGCCCGGCGATCAGGACGGGGATTTGGGGATATTTTTGGGGTTTTTTAGGGGATGTTTTAGGGGTTTTTTAGGGGATGTTTTAGGGGTTTTTTGGGGTCACACACCCATAGCAATGGCCGTTTTCCCTGTCCCGGGCTGCCCGGCGATCAGGACGGCTCGCCCGGCGATTTTCCCTTCCTTGATCATCTCCAGGATGACGCCGGCAGCACGGCGGGCAGAGAG